CTTTGAACTTTAAGAGGAAAGAAATTGTTATTATTCCAAAACTTTTACTGCAGTGCTCAAATATTAGACAATGTTTTCATATACAGTCAAAGGCAACAATGCCATTTCCTTAAAGCATTTGTTTATAACACTATCAAACTTTTTTCTTTAAAATGCAAAACAAACCATTTGGCTAAATTTTTATTAAACAAGATTTTAAAAATAGTTTAATTCCTGCTGCCTATTAAGTTTAAAGTAAGCAAGTATTTCAGTATTCTCTAAGTGTCAAAGAACTATACTGGAGAAACATAATTAAGCAATCACTTAAGTTAGTAAACTTAACACTTGTGTTATACTTTTACGTACCAAGCACTGAGCTAGGTGCAGTGATGATACAGAGAAGTACAACACCTAATATCTACACTCAAATGTAATACAAAATAGGGAGACAAGATGTATATGAACAAAGAAAATATGATTAAGACTATTGATGAATGCTATCAAAGAGTGGTATGAATTTTAAGTGCTACAAAAGTTCAGAGAAAGGAGAGGTCATTCTGGACTGCAGGAAGTGAGGAAATACTTTGTGAGGTTAGTAGGACAAAAGATTTTCTTCAAGGGTTGGCTAACATTTCTTTCCAGCCATAATCTGAGTGCTTATCATATGCCACTATTCATATTGGCCCAGAGGAAAAAGGATAAGCGTTCCAAAGAAGAATGTATACACAAACACACAGAGACAAGAACATACATTTAAGTAATTCTTTCCCATCAAATAAACTTATACTCTAGCCAGGGAGATACGTAGCCAGCACCAATTAAAGTGACATAACTATAAAAAATTGTCTTGGCCTCTAACTCCACACTTGAAAATATTGCCTAAAATTTATTATACTTTTTGGGCCTTAATAAATAGACCAATTATATACCATATATTAATAATTTAACCTTCTGTTGACACATGGTATATATGATGAGTACATGTGTATATATGTGCATACATAATATGTATACATAAATGTAATATACATGTAAATATGATAGAGAATACATATTAGAGAAGGGGTAGAATCCAAATCTAAAAACATTGCTGTTCTCAAGCTCAGTAGAATACATGGAATATATGGAATGTATAGCCACAAGTCTACTGGGAAATA